ACACCAAAGAAGTAGTTCAATCCAATGATTTGTCCATTCACGCTTCCTATCTCTAGAAATCTGCAATCCCCTCCCCTTTATGGCTACTTCTGGTAAATTATAAACAAGGCAAAGAAGGCATTTTAAAGGTGGAAAAAAATATTCTTCTGTCCCAAATCCACTTCAGGATTCTTTCTCTTTACTTCTTAGAATTTTCCCCATGTTTCTCTCTATAGCAGAAACTAGAAACACTTAGAAGGCCATATGCAGTTTCCTTAAACACACTTCTTTTATAGTTTATCAGGCCTCAAATCTCATTTCCTTAGAGAAATAACAGGTAGAAGAAATGCTGGATCTAGGCTTTCCTCTGAGAGATGAGAACAGGAGCAGGCAAATAAATTGTCATGTGGCATGATTTAGAGTCTGTGGATGCACGCATCTTTTGTCATTTTACCAATTTCCTGTGAGTCTGCTTACTCCCTTTCATTGCCTTTTATTCTGAACAGTTCTGTGGTTTATTTTGAGTGGGGGAGTAAGTGGGATCTACGTATCCTCTCTGTTGAGATGTATGCCACCTTAGGTCGGCATAATTCCATGGTCTGCAAGATAGCCAAGCAGAGAAGAGTCCATTCAAAGGGAAGGTGGCAATTTTCCGGATGTGCCTCTCCCTGACTGATTTAAGGAGTTACATTATGCAGAAACCTGAAATAGTGGAACCTTTGTGCTGGGAACATCCATTTAACTACATTCCATAATGTTTCCTGCCAAGTCACCAGGTTCCTACATTCTCGGGCTCTTTCTTGTTGGAACTGAAATCATTCCCTTTACAGAAACAACCTATCTTTCTCTGTGAGGTCTCGTCCAGTTGGTCAGAACTCCTTTCCTGGGGGTTTGATGATAAATTATATCAAGAAATTAAACAGAAACCCCATTAGTAATGTTGACAATATTCCCTGCACACACATGAAATATTTAATAAAAACCAGGAGCGGGGGAGTTGAATTTGCACACAAAGAACCTGTGTTAAGATGGATGTTCTTTGAATGCAATAGCAAGCTTTTTTCCCCCCAAAGATGTTTGCAAATATCCAAGAGCTATCCCTTATTTTGCTTTTGGTGATAGGGAGACATCCATTTAGTAATTTCCTGCCTCAGTTGTTCCCATGCAAAATGGGATACCAGAGGGATTTTAAAAGTCCTGGGACATTCTAAATATGGAAGCCGAAGGGTACAACCAGCCCAAATGGTTGGTACCATCTGCAGAAGTGTTAGAAGTGTGAATGGCCAAAAGAACCCTTACATTTCAGGGGATGAGTGAGCTTGTTCACATTCAAAAGAAAGTGGTTTCAGCTAAATGCCAAGTACACGCAGCTGAAGGAATTGTCTAAATTGGGGATAGTGGGCGCCTGGGTGGCTCAGTGGGTTAAGCCTCTGCCTTCAGCTCAGGTCATGATCCCAGGGTCCTGGGATTGAGCCCCGCATCGGGCTCTCTGCTCAGCAGGGAGCCGGCTTCCCCCTCTCTCTCTGCCTGCCTCCCTGCCTACTTGTGATCTCTCTCTGTCAAATAAATAAATAAAATCTTTAAAAAAAATAAAAAAAATAGAATGGGGACAGCTGAGGGTCCTTGGGATATATCTCACCCTCTCTCTTTAAGTCAGTTGGACTCTGCCATAGAGATAAACAGGGACACTCTTATATACTGATTCTCTACCCTGACTGTACATTAAACTCACCGATGGTCATTTAGAAAGCCCTGTTTCTGATCACAGCAGACCAAGTAATTAACATTTGGTTATTGGAGAATCCAGACATCTCCGTATTTTTTATGTGCCTACAGACAGGGTCTTGTCAGGATGAAAAACCAGAAACAAAGAATTTAATTAAAGTAATTTTTAACAAGTTAACTAGTCATTGAGGAATGCAGGAAGCCGCTTCAGTCTGTAAGGGTGGGGCAAACAAAGGAATGAAGTCACTGGTATTAAACCAGAGTAGGGGGGTGGGGCTGGCAGAGCAGAGACCCCAACCTCTGGTGGGGGAGGGTATGCTGCCAGTTGTTTCTGGTGTCTGAGCTTGGGGGAAGGATCCTGTGGAAGTGGATGGGAGCAGAATTTGGAGGAGGAGACGCCTGCTGGAGCTTGCATCTCAGGTACAAATGGTTCTGGGATTGCCAAAAACTGGAAACTAAACCAACTGTTGTTACTGGAACCAACTGCTATGGCCAGGTGATTCTGGTAGGAACAGAGAGCAAACAGGAGGGAGCAAACTCCCTTCTCTGTAGTCCATCCTCTCAGTCTCCTGCAGTGCCTCCTATCGGGGGATCTGGCAAAGGAGAAAGGCCATTGGCAGAATCCCAGCCCTTGCACAGAAGGGTGGGTTTGAAGTAAGAAATAAGAAGGAAAAACCAACATGGTTTGGTCCCTTAGGTGATTCTATGGGGCAAGTAGGGTTGAGAACTACCAACTATGGGAAGTTACAACTTAGGACTCTGCCCAGGCATTCCCGGTTTGCTTTTGTTTTTATCCCAGTTTTCTGATCAGCCCGCTCGTAATCAGCCTGCTCCTTTGGTCTCCATGTGCACCTTTGGACTCTTGATCTTTGGGTTCTCACAATTATAGCTTAGACTTAGTCCCTGGGTTCTCCCAGCTTTGAAAAACCCTGGGCTCATTGGCCCTTCAGGACCCAAGATAAGGCTAAGAGGAGAGGGTTGGACTTTGATGTCCATGGAGTTTGTTCAGGCTCATGATTTCAGGGACCATATATCCTTGGAAGCAGCAGATCTTGGTGCTGATGGCCAGTCCCAACGGCACTGTGCTGCCACGGGCTCTGATGAGAACCTAAACAGGAAAATTCTCTTACCCTGAGAGGTGTGGTCAAATGAAAATGACAGCCTTCATGCTTCTGCTTTTCCTCTCTGGCAAGCCTGATGGGGTTCTTTCTATTAATGTTGGGGTTCATCACTTACAAAACACCCAACGGGTTAGATCATAAAAGAAATAAAGCTAGTCCTTCTCATTCTAAGGACCGCCCACATACATGAAAATCCTCTAAGTACTCATTCAAATCATTAGATTGAATGTCAGCAGTCTTCAGTCATTTATTCAACAAATATATATTCAGCACCTACTGTGATCTAGGTAGTGTTCTAGGCACTAGAGGTATTGCAGTGAACAAAGCAAAGGTATTATCCTCATGGAGGTCACATCCTGCTTGGGAAGAGAGACAATAAGTAAATAAGTAAGTAAACCTCTAATGTACCAGATGGCCTATTAGTTATGTATTACTGTGTAGCAAATTACTTCAAATTTAGGACCTTTAAACAACAAAGATTTATTACCTCCGCAAGCTTCTGAGAGTCAGAAATCTGGGAGCAGAGTTGTTGCACGGTTCTGGCTTATGGTCTGTCTTGAGGCTGTGGTCAAGTTGTCAGGAGGGTCGTGGTCTCATCTGAAGATTTGCCTGACTTGGGGGAGATCTGCTTCCATACCTTCTTACCATGTTTGTCACCATGTGGAACTGTCCAGAGAGCTGCGTACAACTTGGAAGGTAGCTTCCCTGGAGTGACTGATCCAAGAGAAAGAGAGAGTGAGTAAGATGGAAGCCATGGTATCTTTAATACTCTAATCTTGGAAGTGATCTCCCACTGATTCTGTGATATTCTATTGCCTCTGTCCCTGATAAAGTACACAATGACAAGAATATCACAGATGCAGAGATTTCTGGGGCTGTCTTGGAGGCTGGCTACATGGATGGTAATAAATGCAGTGGAGAAAGTGAAGCCAAGTAAAAGGAGAGGAAAGGCTGGGGTTTGGGATGACTATTAATTGCTTTTAATACAGATGGTCAATGGGGACTTCTCTGATACAGAGCAGAGACCTGGCAGTGAAGGAGTAGCTTTCTGGCTTGCTTTGTAAAGGTTTCTACTTAGGGGTCACATTTTCTGGGAAGACCTCCCTCAGATCCTACCCCACATATCAGGTTCACTAAGAACCCCTACATGTGGTCCCAGGGAACCCACACCTAGTCTCTGAAAGCTCTTGTCACCCTGTGGGGTCTTCTTTCTACTTCTTCCACCAGAGGGGACATTTCTTCGTGCCATGGACAATGTTTTCATTCATCTCTGTATCTCCAGTAAAATATCAGTAAATGCCTGATGAATGAATGAAATAAATGAATGAATTTACTTTTTCAGCTGTCTTTTTTTTTTTTTAGAGATTTAGCTTGAACTACTCTTTAACAGTACATATTTTGTTATGTTTTGTTTTAATTAAGCATCAGTTATCTTTTGTCTAAAACAAAACAAAACAAATCCTTGGACATGGATTGATATAGCTGCTTGAAACATAACTCTCCCCTCTGCTGCTATGCCAACTGCATTGCCTACAGACACTGTTAGTTTATGAAGCACCATATGGAACACAAGTATGTGGCAACTTATTGAATGGGAACATTCTGTGAGAAAAATATTTTTGTTCCCATGCAGTAACGTTTCTATTAAATAGCTTCTAAATATGTAAAAAGAAAAAAGAAAAAAAAAACTCCAAGTGGCAAGAAAATACCCTAAGGAATCTAGAAAACATGCAAAACAGCAATATTATTTTATAATGAAAAACAGATATGAGTAATATTATTTCTTTCTACCCGCCTTTCTTTTGGCAATCATTTTCTTTCTAAATATATGTCCTTCGTCCACTAAATCACATGCTCTGATTCACCCACAGCCCTGGGTGGGAGGCAGCCACTTATACAAAAGACACTTGGTCACTCCCAGAAATATGTCTCCCTTGTGTCTGGGAACTCAACTGTCATTCAAAACATCAGCAGTCTCTCTCCCTGTGGCCCTAGGGGTCTAATTTAGGATTGTCCCCAGATTCAGCCCTGAGAACTCACGGTACCAAAGCCACAGAAACTGTAACGTGCACCGAAATGACCTGGGCATCTTGTTAACAGCAGCTTCTGGTTCCGAAGTTCCGGGGTGGAGTCTAAGTCTCAGCGTTTCCAGTGGACCCCTGGGTGACTGGGGGTGGGACGTGGGGCTGGTCCTCATGTCATCCTTTGAATGATAAGAAAGTAAAACAGGTTTGGAGGGTCCAGCGTTTACCTGTCTGCCCACCTCTGTAGATGATTTGCGATTTCTCTTTCCTTTCTTCTACTTTTTCTTTTATAAAAATATCATCCTAATGAGGAAATTCCTAATAATCAAGAAACAGATTTATTCCATTAATTTGAAAAGTCGTTAAACCACATATTCTCCACCAGATAATTTATATTTTAACTTTCTGTTCCTACAAAAGCTTAGTTTGAAAAACAACATGGTTGGCCATACATCTTCACTTGAACAAATAAATGCCAAGGAATCCACAATTTCGATTTCAAACCAAACTAAATCCTTACCCCTTATCTTCACATCAAACATTCTATGTTTCAAGCATTTCCACATTGGAAGTAAGCAAAGAAAAATATAGTCATTAAAAACAAGATGAAAAAGGTGCATTGATCATCCTGTAGAGAATTCCAGGTCAACCTCTTTCTCCTGAACTCCAGTTGCATGGGGGGAATAGGGGGATTTCACTCATGATTTATTTTACTTTTATTTTTTTAAAAGTTATTATTTTTATATTTTAAATTTGGGTTATTTTAAATATTATTTTTAAAAGCTAAAAATACATTTTATGTGACATTGATCTATTTCTCAAAGTAGTATACAGAGTGTACAGGGTTATCACTAGACTTTGGCCTAGGTATATTCAAATTATCTTATGAAAATATGCAAATATGACATTATATTGGCTGAAGGTCGTTAGCCTGTGTTTATTTCTTAAAGATTTATCAACGTGCAAAAATGTATCAGAATGAATAGGACCTCCCCTGGCTGGTATCACTCAAGTACCTCACCATATGCCTCACCCTATTCCCACCCCTAGAGCTCTCACCCCAGTCTAAGTAGGAGAGTAGCACCTGTGCCCAGGAGATTTGGCGATCACTGAGCAGGTCCCTGCAACAGCTTCAAGGGCTTCAGCATTCTCTCATCAACAAGCCACCAGCTGTGGGTCATTATGGTCCCCAACTCACAGATCGGGAAGCACCTATCTTTCATAGACAACAAGTCATGGGTGAAGTTAGATATTCATTATACTTAGGGAGTTTGGGATAATCACAGATTCATCATCTCACTTCCACTGTGAGCCTCATTGCCCCTCAAAGAGGGTGGAAGTAGTTCTGACTTCTGAATATCTAAAAAGACAATAGTAATGGAAACCCAGCAGATTCTTGCCTTTGGTCAGTGACGGAATCTTTATACCTGTCATCCTCCTCCATCTGCTTTTGATTGTTTTTCACTATTTTCCAAATTGTCTTTGAATCATGCAAACTAAAGACCGACTAGATCAGCACCTAGCACGCAGATGTGCACAGTCGTTTAAGGACATAGATGAATGAGAGGTGGAATCTGTAAATATCTTCAACTCAGCCACTTCAAAGGACAGATGTGGCCATGACAGTAACAAATAACACCTCCATGTGAATAATTACCATTTTACAAAACTTCCACATATGTCATCTCCAACCTTCCCTGTGGCTCCATGAAGTGGAGAGGAATGAGTACATTTCATCAGTGAGAAAACAGACTCCGAGATTAAGGGGTATGTCAAAAGCACCCATCAAATAAACAGCAGAGCCGTGATTTGCACTCAGGTCTTTCAATTCCAAATCTCCTACTTCTCACACTATGTTGCTTCAACTCATGTAAGGCTAGGAGACAGAATTTTGAACCTGGAACTCCTGAGATGGTCCAAAGACATTTCCAGTACACCACAATTCTTAGTCTTGAGGCATTTTTCTTGGCCCAAACATCCACACTCTAAAATGAGAAAATATATCACCAGAATCTAATCTGAGTCAGAGCTTGCTACAGGGATGGGCTTCCAGAGACCCCCAGGAAGTAAAAGGGAAGCCGAATCCGAGGTGTTCCCAGTTTCCACTCTTTCCAATTCACTTCCACCTCCTTTCTGTTTTATATGTTGGGGTGCAGTTTTTAAATACACCCACCCTTACAACGTATAAAGTGGGCCATAATTCAGGAGACATAAACCTTTGTTTAGCACCAGCTTAGTTCTTGTCTGTGTCCAGTTAGCCTGGGACACTGCTCCATTGCCTCTCCGTGCCTCAGTTTCCTCATTTGGGAAAACGGAGTGGCAGAGATCTTGTGAGAGCAAATGAAATAACACAGTCTTACTTGGGGAATAAATGCAAAGCCTTCTCACATGCATGCCCTTGCTGAGATAGGGGGCACAAAGCGGGTGCTGGGGTAGTGGTTGGCATGAGAGGAAACCGTCAAGAATTCTCTACAGCGCAGAGCATGGTAGAACCTGCAGGGAAATTCCCTTAACTCTCCCAAGGATCAGCGTGCCCTGGGAAAGAGCCTGAACGGTCCTATAAAGAAACTGGACCCTTTCCCTTTTCCCCATTAGGAAAATTGGCATGATCAAAAGAAGTGGAATCTTTGGGAAAAGGAAGAGCGTTTGCTGTGTTAACATTCAGTTCTTTCCCAGCAGGGACGATGAGGAGACCATCTTAGAACATTCCTCGTGGGAATATACCAGGAAGTGTTTCCTGAACTCATGGCCTGGGAGCAAGCAGGACATCAAAAGCTGGATTAAGTAATTCGTAACTCATTGTAACTGGAGTCACGTAATATCACCAGCATCCTTTTTTCTTTCTGTCAATATAATTTCAACCTGAAGAGGCAGCGTGGAGGGACAGAAATAGAACAAGAAGCCTGGCTTGAATCCTGGGTGTAGACTCTGGTTGAATCCCTGCTCGGTCATTTACAAACTGAATGAGTTCAATTTCCTCCGATGTACAAAGTGGGCCTATGTTGGGGTTTGAACAGGTCAATAAATAAGGTTTTCTTCTCCTCCAAGTAAGAAACTGAATAAAATAAAAATAGACATGAGCCGAATTGAGGGGTCAACATGAGTTTAATAACCAGCACATCAGGATTTGGGAACGCAGCCTGGACTCACAGCCAGTAATTCCTAACATTTCTAGAATTTCACCCTTAACAAAAACTGAACCAAATTCAGCCAAAAGCACCACACAGTCATAACCATTTACCTTCAAGGAGAGGATGATGGGCATCAGATGGGAGATCAGGTCACCTGAGGATCAGGGACCCTATGGCCGTAAGTCACCTGGGAAGGAACAGTCAGCCGGGAGCTGTGCAGACCCTTGGGAGCCCACCAGTTGGAAAAAGGAAGTAGCTTCCTCCAGGGGTAATAGTGTAAAAGAGAGTCTGGAAGAGTCTGTGACGGAAGCCTGGAAACATGAGGACAGAGGAAGATGTCCCCCATCAGATACCATTCTCTCCCCTACCTGCCTTGTGGGGTTGGTGAAATAAATAAGATCAAGAAAATGGAGCCCCAGAGAGACAGTGAGAGAGCCCTGGTGATTCTTCTTTCTTCTCTCTTTGCCAACCTGCTTTGGAAAATGAGGAAGGCCAAGTTCCAAAGCAGCTTCCTGAGACACTTTCCTGAGGGCCACCTCAGGCTTGGATGTCGGGCTGGGCCCGGCACACACCTGGCTTCCCCGGGCATGCTGGGCTTACCACCTGGTCCCCCGTCCTGTCCGGCTGAGCATTGGCTGGACGACAGAGTCTTAGCTGGGTGACACTTAAATAGCCCCCCTCTTTCCAACACGAAGTTTTTTAGGCAGAGAAACAACAAATCCTCCTCTCTTTGTTGCCAAGTTGCTGCTTTTTCTTGCCCCTTTTCTCTTCCTGGTCTCCTTCGCTGTGAGTTCTTTTTTAATAAGGGTCAGTATTTCCCAGATGTGCTTCTTTCTCTTTTCTTCTTTTCTTCCTCTTATCCTCTCTGGGTGGCCCCCCCACCCCCACCCCCACCCCACTCCACATCCTCAACCACACAAACTGCATTTGAGCCGAATTCCAAATCCGCCTCCTGCCCTGCCTCCCCGGCTCACACCTCCTGTTCCTGCCCCTCTGCTTGGATTCCCTTCCAACACCACAAAGGTGACTCACGCTCTTACCTTCCATCCCTCAAACTGCTTCTCCTTCTTGTATTCTCCAGCTCTCGCTTTCCCTAAATAAAAATCCTAAAAGTATCCTCGGTTGCCAATTCCCTCTTACTCCCCCCATTTAACACACACTCAGTTGTGCCGGTGGCCCTCACATCCGGCTGCCTCTTGCCATGGGGCCATCACTGGCTCCGACTAGATCTTGGTCTTGCACCTGCTGCCTTGCAATCGCTTCATAAATGATCTCCCGGCTGTAAGTATCGACCTCTCCAGTATATGACCCGCCCTCGTCTACAGTTGAGGTTGTCTGCAAACCGCCCCCCACCGTCTCTCTCTCTCTCTCTCTCTCTCTCACACACACACACACACACACACACACACACACACACTACACAAATTGCAAAAATGTATGTAGTCTCTTCAGCCCATGCTCCAAGCCAGGCTTCTCAGAATGACCCATAAGCCCTCTAGCATCCAGTCCCCTTGCCTTCTTTCCCATTTATCCACCCTCCAAGTCCCAGGACCCGATGGCACTGAGTTTACGTCACCATTCCCAGAACAGCCCACACCCTTTAACACTTCTCTGTTTATGACCTTCTCGTGCCTTCCCCCTAGAATGACCTTGCCCAACCCACTCACCTCCTCTTTGCCTTGTAAACATATATTTCTGTCAAGGATGATCTCAGGTGTCCCTGCCCTGGGAAAGTACTTCCCTGCTTGTTAGTCATAAGCCTTCTGTATACCCTCAGCATTTAGCTGCTGTAACAGTTATGCATAATCAAACTTGGTAATCCTTTGGCATTTATGAGTCTCCCGTTACTAATTTTGTGGCTTTTGAGAATGGAATCAATTTTTTTTTCACTGCTTTATCTCTAGCATCTAGATCTCAATCCCCTCTTAGGTACAATCACTGTGTCCCTTACCACGTGCAGGGATAAATGGAAGAATGAAGACTGATTTACTTTAGTGTGATAAAGTGTTCCCATTAACTGCAGGTCTGGGAATCACGAAACACAGCCCCCGGCACTGTGTTGTCTCTGCTTAGCCTCGTGAACTTAGACAAGTCCCTCCTCTGGGCTGTTTTGGTTCTTCAGCCTGAACAATGGCCAAATAATAACTGAACAACTTCCTAATGGGTAGTAATGGTAACGGAGAAATTACAGTCTTCTGTGTATTTTCACTTCTAATGTGCAAGTTCAATATGATGAAACTTAACAGTATTATATAAAATTGACTGTTGTTAAACAGGTGACTTACCTCAGGTACTTTATAATAAGTGAGTAAAAAAAATGCTATTATACAGAAAATGATTGAAAGAATTAAACAGAACTCAACCTACAGTTTTCTTATTAAAACACAAATATTATGAATTAGTAGTCAGTAGCATCCTGATTTTACATATAGGCTTGCTTAGATTTTTTTTTTTTCCGGACATAAATATTTATTTTGAATTCATACCTCTCCCAGGCTGTGAATTCAGACCACCTTGTCTTCAAATCTCTCCCTAACATTTTGAGAAATGAAGAAAATAATCAAAGAAAGAAAAATGGAGGTTCACAACACTGCTGTGGTACTAGAACTCACTCTATGTTAGAGTCTCTCCAAAGAGAATGATTCCAGATACGGAGGAGAGTTCATCACAACATTTTTTTCCTACAAGCAAAAAAAAAAAAAAAAAAAAAAAAAAAAAAAAAAAAAAAAAAAAAAGAAGAAGAAGAGAGAGGAAAAAAACAACCAATTATAAGAGGGCAAATGGTTAAATGAGTTACAGTGTATTTTTGTACCATAGAAACAAAGCAGCCATTGTATATTCTGTTACAAGGATTTGTAGCAATGTGGGTAACAATTATGTTACAATTTTACGGGAAAAAGCAAGGTAAAGAGTATGTGAGCAATTTGAACACAAGTATCTGGAAAATAAACACAAGAAACTAGAAGTATACCTGTATCCCCTTGGCTCTTTCTATGCCTCTCCCTCTGCCAGCTGTGAAAACGGTGAAGGAGAACCATTTTGTTTTCAGGAGTGGGAACTTCCACCAAGAACTTTTCCTCGGCAGACTTCCTCTGCCGGATTGCCCTGTGGGGAAAGGATTTCAATAGTCTCATATTCCCAGCCTTACTTCATTTTTCTGGAGCTTTTTTTTTTTTTATTAATAACTTTGTTTGATTATCAAAGTAATTTATGTTCACTTAAAAGGCTCCCTAATTTTAAAGTCCTTAACCATATCTGGTTTGAAGTGAAATTGGAAAATTATTGTTCTTTCAGCAACCAAAACTTTTGGCAACTTGCCTCCAAAAAACCTTGGAATTATGTAACTCTCAATTTGGTAGGAAAAAATGCTTTTTAAAAGGGCCAACTTCTCTTCTGGAACCCATCATTTCTTTTCTTTTCTTTTTTTTTTTAATTTAAATTCAATTAGCCAACATATAGTACATCATTAGTTTCTGATGTGATGTTCAATGATTCATCAGTTGCGTATAACACCCAGTGCTCATCACATCACGTGCCCTCCTTAATGCCCATCACCCAGTTACCCATCTCCCCACCCATCTCCCCTCCAGCAACCCTCAGTTTATTTCCCAGAGTCAAGTCCCTCCCTTCCCCGAAGATCCTCTACGCTATTTCTTATATTCCACATATGAGTGAAACCATATGATAGTTGTCTTTCTCTGGTTGACTTATTTCACCTAACATAATCCCCTCCAGTTCCAACCATGTTAATGCAAATGGTGGGTATTCATCCTTTCTGATGAGTAATATTCCATTGTATATATGAACCACATCTTCTCTATCCATTCATCTGTTGAAGGACATCTTGGCTCCTTCCACAGTTTGGTTATTGTAGACATTGCTGCTATAAACATTGAGGGGCAGGTGCCCCTTCTTTTCACTACATCCATGTCTTTGGGTAGAAACCATCACTTCAAAACAGCTTTTAAGCAGATTGTAAATGGTTTTTACCTCCATGGATGTTATTTTCAGCACATACACTTGGAAGTGTGACATAATTTATGGGTGGTTTTTAACGCTTTATCGTAGTAGTGAATTCTAGATAAACAAAAGGATTCTTCCTCTCTCCCCTAAGAATGTTGTTAGTGAAAAATTACCAACTAGAGGGAATCAAAAAAGAAGAAAGTCCAGTTAAGAAGATGTGGGCTGGGGGCTATCCATCTTCTCAGTGAGTCAGACAACAGATAGACACAAACACCTGAAATGTAAGGCTCATCTCATCTCTCATATGTTCAGAGGCTTCTCTGAGGTCCTCTCTGATCTAAATAAATCTCCCCAAGGTCCTAGTGTAGACAGGCTTTCCCACCAAAATTACCAGGCACAGCAATTACAAACACAGTTTCGAGGGCCTTGCCCCAAAGCCACTGAACTGCAATCTCTAGGAATGGCCTCAAGATTCTGCATCTTAACAGAGTGTCCTGGTAAATCTCTTGCACCCTTTACAGAAGAGGAATCTGAGGATTAAAAGGGGAACTTGACTTCCTTAAGGTCACATCACTGGGTAATAGTACTTGGACTCCTCACCTCCAGGTCAGTCCTCCTCTAAGGGGAAATTAGGTCTTAGGACAGACCCATGTAAAAACAGAGTGCTGGATGTGATGGTTGCCTACGCTAGATACAAATAGGGTCATTGGGCTACCATAGGGTCCCACTGTAGAAGTGCCTCTCTGAGGTTTTTAGAGAAAATGAAAAAGAAAATTACAAGTTGAAGCAGAGCTTCTGCAAACATTTCTTAGAAAACTAGTCTTTATAAAATAATCCATGAAAAAAGGAATTCCACTGTTGAGGAAGTCACTGTATCCTTTCTCCCTATCTTGAATCATCTCAGGAAATCCCTTTTTCTGTGAGCCTATAAAGGCACTGAGAAGTCCTGCAGTAAAGAAACCCACTTAACTTTCCTCATTCTAGTAGCTCACTGACATATTTGACAGAAATGCTTGTGTGTGCATGTGTATGATATCGTTAATAATATCTTACTAGTGTTCTAGAGAAAGCATCTAATCATCCGGAAGTTTCCCTGGTCAAATTCATGTCACAAGCATGAGCTAGTTAGTTTGGTAAGAAAGCACTAAGCTTGGAGTCTGGAGATACCTCTGACAACTTGCCAGTTTTGAGACCTTGGGAATATCTCTTGCCTCACCTAAGAGATACATGCCTTTCCTGTCCACTCTACTGGGTTGTCTGGAGGACCATGCAGAGCTGCCTATAGAATAAACAGCACTATAAAAGTAAAGTTCCATCATCTCTTCTACTTCCTCTCTTCCTCCACCTCCTTCTTCTTTCTCATATGCTCATCACTCAGGAGGTCATCTCCATCCCAGAGACCTCATCCTGTATTTCACAGCAGAAGCCTGACAAGATGACATAAGGAGTTGGTCGTGATACAGATACGGTATGTCAGGGTGACCAGTTGATCCTGGAATTGCTGTAATATCAACACTGCCCTGTCACTGGCGACAAACTCTCAAAACATTGATTATAGATGGAATTGACCTGGGGTGGGATCTTTCTCACTGAATTACAGGTCAGTTATTCACATAATTGATTTTCTTCTCTAGAGACACTGGCATTGTTAATGCTGTTCCGGTCAGATGGCAGAGGACAGAACAGTTTTCCTTGGTCTGTGTTCCAGTGGGTTGTTCTCTCACCAACATGCTTCCAGCAGGAGCAGGCTCTCCCACCTCCCCAAGGGAGTGGACCCACTGTAGAGGAAGGGGATGCAGGCTAGAAATGGAGACATCATGCGCTGCACACTGACCTTAGGGAAATAATCATTGATGTGTGTCACTGGCTCTGGTGTACCCCTCAGTGGCACTGCTCCTGCTACCTCTCAGGTGCTCAGAAGATATTTCTGAATGAATGGATGAATGAGTAAATGAACTCTGTCCTACAATGTCCCGCATATTTTCTCTGCTTTAATGGAGCCTCCATGAGCCATCCTTCTCACCTATGATAGGCCACACCTTATCATGAGGTTGAAAAGTTAATACAAGAGACTCACTAGTACTCTCAGAAAACCAGAAAGTAGAGGTACAGAAATGAGTAGAGCCTTCTTTGGACTCTCAATGGTCTCACTGTGTAGCTGGGGAAATTTATTGGGCTGCAAGCCTTCCACGGTAAGGCCATGGCCACACGGGAAGTCATTTTATTTCCCCAATAGATTCTAAGCTCCCAGCGTTAGGAGACATCTTCAATATCATCATCTTCTTCATCCTCACTGTGTAAGCTCCATGAGGACCAGGGTTTTTGCTTTGTTCTCCAATGCACTCCAAGCATTCAAAACAGCCCCTGGCACATAACAGATGTTTTTAATCCTTGGTAAGTTGAATAATTGGTATCAAGGCTAGAACCTTATGCCTACTTCTTTCCAGGAACTGTGCCAAATACTCTATATTCATTATTTTAACAAAAAGAGGAACGGGGAACCTGGAGCAGCAGTAGGCAGACAAATGTCTTAAGTTGATGTTGACACACTTCTTATTTAGGAGATCTGACTCCAGAGAACGCACTCTTACCCACATCCTTCCCCATTACGAATATCCCCAGACACCTCAAAATTGTTTCTAAGTCCCTTGCAATTCCTTGTAGGATCAGTGCTAGATGTCAAGTAAATGAGAGGACAAGACTCCAAACCAAAGTAATGGCAGTAGATTGTTGACTGTGCTTGTATCTGCATGTTGACAGTCCGACACCAAACCAGGATTAATAAAGAAACAGAGACAGGATTGACCAGATAAACAGGCCAACGTTAAACCCTGCCCAGCCAGTCAGCTAACAAGATTTTTCTTGACAGGAAAATAAAGACTTCAGAGAAAAATATGATTTGCTTTGCCCTGTCTTTAAGTGAAAAATGAGTTAGGCCAGGGACATAACGGGTCATTTCCCCTTTCAAAGACACTCTCTGTAGTTTCTCTCCAGTGATCCCGATGTGACCAAGCAAGTAGCAGGACCACTGGTCTGACTACCATGGGACAGGGGGACAAGAAGCATGACGACTGGGGGACAAAAGGGTGGGAGTTTCTCAGGCCTGGAGAATGTCCCACGCCACCAGGAGGGACATCCCTGTATGTGCCAAGAAGTGTGCTGAGCACTTTCCACTTGAAACGCAAACAGGAATGTATGGGCGAGGCCAGGGGGTGAGTGATATCGGGGTGCCAAGCAATTAGGAAAGCCTCCTGTTCTTAATGATTATATTTAATTTATTTCAACAAATACCTGCTAGTTACCTACTCTGTGTCCATGCCTCCATTAGAGATTTGTTTCGTTTATGCCTGAGTTACCTAATAATAGTAGAAACGACTAATAGTATGTGACATTCTGCAATTCACAATGTGCTGCTCTCTTCTGTTTATTTTGATTTGGAACCCAAACAATGCTGTGGGATAAGCATGGCAGGATTCATTATGCCTGTTTCATAGTTGAGGATACCAAGGTTCAGAGAACACACACTAAGAGCTAACATTTATTGGGTGCTCGACCTGTGCCAGGCACCAAAGATGTCCACTCCCATTATCTTTACAACAACCATACAAGGTAGATAGTTTATTATCTCCATTCTATAGATGAGAAAGCTGAGGCTTTGAGAGATTATGTTGTTTCCCAAAGTTGCACAAAGAGTAGGTGATGCA